CTGACTAGTAGGGGATGAAGTGAGTGAGGTAATGGGTTCTAGTCCCTCAGAACTTCCCGCCCTGTGGGAGCTCCGGGTGAGCGAGCAGACCTATGGTGCAGCAGGACTGGGCCAGGTGCTGCGCTGCTGGAGACACACAGGAGGGACTGAGATGGCTCACGTTTTAGCTAATTCCAAAGAAAGCACAGTAGAAGCCATTGGAGCCTCCACCATGGTTCCAGGAAGTAGGATCAAATACATCCTGGAGAAATCTAAGACAGACATCTGATTTGTTGGAAAGCCTGCAGGAGTCATTTGGAAAATGTAACTGCACAGCTGTAGCGAAAACCCCCACATAGTCCTCTCTGGGTGGTTTCCAGAGGAGACAGCCGCCCCTGCGGCAGAGTCAGCACCGCAGCAGCTCACTGCAGTGATGCAAATGGCAAGACTGGTGGTGCCAAAGCTGACCGCCGGGGTTGGAATTCTGGCTACACCTCTTCCCAGCACTGGTGATCTTGGGACAGTCACTTAAGCTCTCTGACCCACAGTTTCCTTGGCTGTAAGATGGGCATAATGGAGTGACTGTGAGGATTACACTAGTAAAGTGCTTTGAACAGCGCCTGACCCTTAAGAACTCTAAATACTTCAGAAATGCCAGCCCTCTGAGAAGACGTGGAGGGTTTCACACAAGGACCTTTGTTGTCATTCCAATTCAGATGCTGTAAGCAGACATAAAAGAACCGTAAAGGGAGATAAAATGTAAAGGGATGCTGTACGGAACCATTGTGGAGAGTAACCACTTCAGAGGAGCTTAACTTCATTTCTCAGCTCTGCTAGCGTAAATGCCACAACGGGGCTGGAAACCTGGGCTCTGTCGTTGTCATTTTTAGAGAGAGGAGGAAGCAGAGGCAGTCAGGCCTTTCCCTCGCCCTCTGATCACACTGGACTGTTTCATGTCAACAACCAGGATGGACCGTGGTTAAGGATACGGGCTCTGGAGCCAGGTCTTGACCCAAACCCTGACTAATGAGCTGCATGATTCAGGGCTAGTTCCTCCACCTCAGCATGCTTCAGTTTCTCCATCTGTGAAATCAGGACTACAGTAGTGTCTGCCTTTGGGTTTTTGTGTGAAAATTTAAATATGCATTATACTTAAGCTCTTTAGAAGAGGGCCGAGCAATGTTAGTGCCATATAACTGACAGATCTTATGAAATGTATTACTGTTAAAGAACAATACAAAGAATTGTTCAAATGCACAAAGCCATGAAATACTGAGGCAAGACAGAGATGCCTTAGCACCTCTTGTTTAGCTCTCTGAAGACAAGAACTGGAGTTTACTCTTACTTTTTTTGTTAAAAAGAAGAATGAACAAGGCATGACGTGCTGGACTGGTCTGAGAGCAAAGCCCGCTAGATCTGGAAGTGGACTCACCTGTCAGGGGGGTTTCGCCCCATTCTCATTGGAGCAGGCGACTCATCTCACAGGCACTCAGTGTCCTCAGCTTTGAAACAGGGAGGACAATGAGAGCATTGCTAAGGTTCATTCCAAATCCAAAATTCTGTAAGGCTCGACATTTGAAGTTTTACCAAAGGTAATGTAATTACGGCTATAGAAGCCTTTTTTACCCACCTAGTGTATTTCCAAAAAGGATTATCAAGTTGAAGACAATGTCATTTGTTTGTGTTTTCTGAGTCACAAAGCAAAAAACTGAACCAAGAGCAAATCTTTAAATCCGTGAAAATGGATTATCTTTAGCACAATTGATAACTTTTAAAGCTCTTGGATTGTGAGACTAAAACTGATAAGGACATTTTTCCATTCATCTTAAATGAATTTTTAGCGACTCTAAGAATAAAACTTAATCCACAGACATCTGATGCTGACTTAGAAGGCAGAACTCATGAGCTCTGCTCAGCAATTCTCCACTAAATGAAATTAAGCTGATTTAGTTGAGCTTTTAAAACATTAGGGTGGAAAGCATAAGTCCAAAGGATTTGGGGGAACTCTCCCAGGACTGCCTTTCTTCAGACTGTGCTCCTGGAAGCTGGCTCTCCCGGAGGAGCTGTCACTCTCACCACTGAGGGCTGGAAGGGGCTGTGAAGCTGGGCTGCATTCCTAGGTTTGACGAATTGGGGAGTGGTGTAACGATTTCACTTGGGAAGAAAAAGATTCTGTTGTAGGAAAAAAGGGAAGGAGGGTGATTTGAAATAAAAACTCTGCATTAAGAATTCAGGCTTTGGATCAAAGAAAGTTTAAATTTTAGCTCTACTACTCTTTAGCTCTGTGACCTTGGGCTGGTTGGTTAATCTCTCTAAACCACATTTTCCACATTTAATAATTTTCTGACTTCCTAGGGTCACTGTGAGTATTAAATGAGATAATACATGGAAAGTTCTAGGCCCGTAACATCTAGAACACAGTCACACCGGATGAATGGGGGTCGCGCTTACTCTCCTGAATGAATGATGGGTTGATAATCTGCACTGTCTCTTGGCCAGCTTTTTATGCTCCCTTTGGAATCTCTCAGAGGCACAAGAAGTGCTATGTAAGCTTTCTGACATCAAAATTTGGGTCCAAACCTCAGTCTTTTTAGTGAGCCCTAAAAAACCTTCGGGTTTTTCCCAAGATCTATTCATGGTCTCATGTGGGCTCTGGACAAAGCTTCACTTTGTAAGACTATCCAGCTAGGTTAAAAATGAAATATGCAGAAATGTGTGGAACTTCCACAATAGAATATAGGAAAAATGGATGATTCTTAGCTGGAAACAAAGGCATTCTAATATATGAATGTGCATGTAAATGCATAGGAAAGCTCTGGAATGTACAGACACCACCATGGTAACATCAGCTCCCTCTGGGGAAGGAGGAAGACAGGGGAAGAGGCGGCATTTACCTCGGTATTGTCTTAATGTTTTACACATTTATGTACGAATGAGTTATGTAATTAAAAACCAAAACCAAACAAATCAAGAAGCAAAACCCAAAGCAAAGTAGTGGTGCAAACTGAAGAGAACTTTCAGAACTTGTGGATGGAACCAGAAGACAGGAATCAAGGAGTTTACCCCAGGGCTGACCATGACTTGGCACTAAGTCACATTCTGCTGAGTCTGTTGTCCTTGAGGAGTAAGGCAGGCAGGGGAGGACTTCTGAGCCTATCTCCAGCCATGGCTGGACCCACGGGAAGCTGCCTGCCAGCTATCTCTGGGTAAACTCCTCTTCTCAGCAAGTCCTCAGATAAGACATCAGTACCCTGGCTAGCTCTTTGCAAAAGTCAAGGTCTACAGAGGCGCCAGCTGAGATTTGGTGAACTATGCTTTTAAGCAAAAAGAAAGCAGATGGTAAATGAGTGTACCTATGACTACATTTCCATAGCAAAGAAAATAAGAGACAATTTAAAAGAAATCTACTCTGACGGCTACTTGTTTGATTAAAAGATCCCTGACCGAGGAGTTTTAAAATATCATTCTCACCCCTCTCCCCCCAATACTTCCAAATAAATAAATTAATTAAAGGAGAGTAAAGAGTTTAAGTACTGAATTATGGGCTACAGCATTTTTTATTAGTGAAACATTTGTTTACTGTTGGAAATGATACCATTGGAAATTGGAAGTTTTCACAAAGGGCCCTTTCCTTGGAAAGAGATATTTTGCCTACAGGGAAAACTAAGAAAGCTCGCAGAGCTCTGAGAAGTTGCACTGACTTGCTTTGACTCAGCTGGCAGTCTCCCCGAGAGAGGCCTCGCCCGGTGCCCCGGGTTCCATGAACAGCAGCCAGGATAGAGCGGTCTTGCTTTGGTCTTAATGCAAATGTTTGGCCCATGGACTTTAGGGAGATTTTGCTATACTGATGAGAACTCTGTCAAAGGCCCCCTGGCTGGGCCTGACATGCTGTTCCTGGCCCTGCTCCTCAGCCTCCTCAGCTTGTGGCTCGGTGCAGGGCGCTAGTCCAGCCCAGCATGAAGTTCCCTGTGTTCTGCTGGTAGGTTAAGTGAAGGAGCAGCTCAGAAAGGACCTGAATGAAAGGAAGGAAGAATGAATGGAGAGAGCCATTTTGAGGAAATTGCCCAAGGGTATTAAAGAGGTGGGAGGGGGCAGCTGGAGGCTGGAGGAAGCTTCTGTTGCTTAAGAAACTCTCGCCAAGAGTGTCAGTCATCAGTGGCTTAATAACCACTCATTTCTTCCCTCCTACTTGTGTATAAATTTGCAGATTTACGCAGACCACCAGTGTAACCGCTCCAATGAACTGAGTTGATTGTGAAACATGCAGAAAAGGAAAATCTGTTTTTGCTCATTAATAAGCAATGTAACATTAATACCATAAATAGAAGAACAAGCAATTTAAGAAATCAAGGTGTACAGCAGCATACATAACCCCATATTATCACTCAGATTTAGACCACCCACTGCTCTCTCTTTCTGAAAGAAAGGTGGCCATAGCAAGCAAAATTGAGGCAACTGGAAAGAGAGGAATTAAAACGCAGGATTCCGTCATTTCTGTAAAAGGTCATTCTAGTCCTTGGCTATTTTTACCATCGAGAGAGACTCAGCAAGTTACTGGCTGAATGGATTTGGGAAGCTAGCAGCGGCCGCTCCTGACAGTGAAGACGGTAATGCAGCCCTTAAGGCTGTGTGAATGAAAGGTGTGGAAAAGTTGAACCTTTCAAGGATGAGAGAGAGCTGGAATTAGTCCGCGACTAAATTACTAGCCATAACTGTACTCAGACCAGTTCTCCTTGAAACTGCCTGTAATCTTGTGGTTTTGATTGAGGAATGCCCTTTCCAACTCAAACGCTCTTCAGCCAGCCCAGCCCAACCCCCTCCTCGCAAAGCCACTCTTCCTAGGCGCCCCCACCCACATGTTTGCATCAAGGCAGGTGTATGTCTCAGCTGGACCACTGCTTCAGAAGCCGGCTTTCATTCAGGGCTCCGGCTACCAAACCTTAGGCTTACCTCCCCCAAGCAGTCAAAAGCATTGCAGAGAAGAGCAGAAAACAAAAGAAACAAACAAAACCTGTCCTTACCCGCTTCTTAAAAAATTGGAAGGCTGAGCATTTCTTGACCGGGAATCCATTCATGTCTTTGTTTACCATTATTCCACGGTAGGGAGTTCACGGTTAGAAATCCAGGCTGGCCACCGCCGGCTTAGCGCATCTGGTTCCCGGGGTCCCTCTTGGAGACGGTTCACGAAGACGGAGCAGGACGAAGACTCTGGCGGGGCTCAGGTCTTCACTCACAGATTCTGCAGCACCGGCCACTGCAGCAACCTCTCCTCACTTTCAGATGTCCCCGGCAGTGACTTTTCTCCTTCCATCACTGCTCCCAAACACAGGCATCACCGCCATAGGACCCTGGGATGCAGCGGATTCCGGGGAGATGCTGCCGAGCGACGGGGAGAAGGGCACCCCCTGCGCGCCCCCAGCTACCTGGCCGCGCTGCGGAGGGTGCGCCGCCGAGCTCTGCTCAGGTGATGCGCTTCTGGAGGCTGCTCGAGAGACAAGAGAGCTGTTTTTTGATTGTGCAAGTTCCAGTGGGAGCTGTAGTTAAGCAGCTGAGAGAAGGAGTAAGAAAGAGCAGAATCCAGAGGGAGGGAGAGAGGGAGATCCGCGCCAGAAAGGCAGAGGGAGAGAGAAGGCGATGCTGGAAGACGCAGCGATTCATGAATATCTGAGCAGCGATGGAGAGCCCACACCAGCTCAGGACGCACTGAAAGGCGGTTGACTCCCCTTGGAGGGGGGGGACTTTAATAGCTTTTTTCTTTTCTTTTTGCTGTTAGGACCATTTAAATCAGAGTTTCACAGAAGATGCAGACCGTTTTTATTGCATGCTCATTGAAATTCTTTTGCTATGTATTCCTGAAAAAAAGCCTCTTGATGGAAATTTAATCAAATTTATTCCCAATCTGTCCAAATGTGGAGAAAAATGAAATGAAGTGCAAGCATAGGTACAACAAAAGACCGTCTCTCACATGTAGAGATCTTCCAGCATCCTCTCCTTACTTGTCATAAAATAGTGGGCAGCAGTGAAGGTAATGGTGTCTTTTTCACTAAAGAAGCCTGTGAAACAAGAACACAATGGAAATATATGAAGTGTTTTACACAAAAAACAGAAAGAGCATTACCAAAAAGTATTACTGACCTGGTTTAATGCAGAGGAAGGACTCTCAGTGAAGAAGAGATGAAAGCTTTCTTCCTACCAAGGGAAAATCTCCCCCAGATTCCTTACTCTTGTTAGTCTTTGCACATTAAATTCCTTTAAGAAAGGCATTTAATTTGTGTGTGGCCTATTTTTCCATTTTTACTCTTTAATGTTGATATTTTATGGAGATTTAAAAAAATCAGAGTGGATAGCTCAATGGACCCAGCAAAGAAATAAACTTGGCATCTAACAGAGTCCTGCTGGGACATCGGTGGGTGGCTTTCTGCCAGTCGCCTGACCCCCGTGCCTCTCAGACAGTGCCTCATCCATCGGGTGGAGGATCACTCAGTCATGCCTTCACTCATTCATTTTGTTAGTCATTCCCTTGTTTGCTGTGTCATTCCACTTATCCATCCAATCACATCCAAATGGGGCAAGTGTCCTCAGGATGGAGATCCTTTTCATGGTCACCAGAGGGAATGTAATCAACAAATGAGGGAAAACACAATGTGTAACTGATAAAAGGGAAACCCAGCTCCTTGAAAACAATACATCTAACACTATTAAAATATTTATATGACAGTCTCTGGCAAGAAGAGAAAACACAAGTTAACTGGGGAAAAGGTATGCTGCTTTCATCGAATTGGAGTATAAATCTCTACAGTTGGACCAGGTTTTTTGGGGAATAACAATGAAATCTTTGCTAACTGTTTCGAGATTTCCAAAAATGCAACACAACCAAATGATGGCATTGTGACGGAGGGAAAATAAACCTTTCACTTTGGAGAGCTGAGTTAAGTTGTCCAAGATGCAAGGATACATTATATAATCTACAACATCGATGGGACTTGTGGTTCTTCTAAAGAGTTCCTTTAAAATTCTGGTGATTCCGAGAGACTTTTTGAGGATGGTGGAAATGTTCTCTATCACAATTACGGTGGTGGTTATACGACTATGCACTTGTCAAAACTCATCAAACTTTGCATATGAAAAAGGAAAGTTTTGCTGTATATAAATTATAGTCTAACAAGCCTGATTAAAATAATCATGGCCATTCAAATTCTTTCCTGTTCCTTACCTTGCCTCTCCCCTAAAAGTATTTTCACAGATATTTATTGAGTTTGAGTGATAAGAGAGGAGTGGCTCTCTAAGTGTTTGGTGGGAAGGGGGCACTAGGGCCTTGATTCCACTTGGCCTGGCGTGCATACTGGTTTTAAGTACTGTGTTTATTTTGTATGAAGAGGGGATGGTTAACAGAAGCTGAGGGAGAGGAGGAGGAGACAAAGTCAAATCCCCTCCCTCCTTTCCACCCTGGGCCACCCAGTAGAGATGCCGCACTGTCACCTAGTTGATGGCAGATCCTATGGAAGGTTCTGTGAATACAAACACCAATAGTTTCATCACTAAGGAAGTCACGGCTTCGTGGAGAAACCCACACTGTAGCAGGAATGAAGTGTGTGTGTGTATATATATATATATGCATTAGCTCCTACTCGGCTTGGGTGAGTTAGGGTGGCTGGGAAGGAGGCCCAGGAAGTTTTCTTCAAAGGGGTGATGTCAGTGCAGGGTGTTAGAGAATGAGTAGAGGTCAGCCGGCTGATGGGAGAGAAGCACAGGGCAGGGCCTCTGACCACATCACCTAGTGCCTGACTTTGGACTGCATTCTGGTCACTGCGATAGAAGAGAAGTGTGCTAAGTACACTGTGCTGGCTCCTCCTCTGGGAAAAGAAAGCAGCTCTCGTCCACTCCTACCTCTGTTTTCTTAAATGTTTTCTTAAATGAAGCTGCCTGCAGCTGGGCCCTGAGTGGCCGCTGTCTACTGAATGTCTCCTTTGCCAGGCGTGTATACTTACAAAGGAGCACAGGCTCCTGCTCATAATAAAAGGGAAATAACCCCCAGACTCTTATAACATCCTGGCCTCTACAACATCCTGTTTGCACATTAAACTTGCTTTAATTAAATTAATTCTCACTGAACATGCTTATTCATTTTCGTAGTCCCAGCACAGAGTGGAGAGCCTGAGCCAGACAATGCCCTCAGTGAATGGTTTTCAAATAAACTAAACAAAAAATGATGCTAAGCTAACATCAGTGACCTTGGCGCTGGATCATTTATAGGAATTGTTAAATACCTTTGAGGTGTCTAAACCGTTAAGTAAACTCCCGCCATAACCAATGTGCTGAGCTCTGGTCAGAGCAAATGACCTCAGTCCTCGGGGCTGGCCCCGTGGCCGAGTGGTTAAGTTCGCGCGCTCCACTGCAGGCGGCCCAGTGTTTCGTTGGTTCGAATCCTGGGCGCGGACATGGCACTGCTCATCAAACCACGCTGAGGCAGCGTCCCACATGCCACAACTAGAAGGACCCACAACAAAGAATATACAACTATGTACTGGGGGGCTTTGGGGAGAAAAAGGAAAAATAAAATCTTTAAAAAAAAAAAAAAAATGACCTCAGTCCTCACGGTTTCTTCTCTAAGCCTCAATGACATTGCTATCCTGGGATGACACATCTTTTTTTTCCCAAAACCCCTGGTGTTCAAAAGAATCCCTTGAACCTCTATTTGCTTTTTTTTTGTAGTATTTTCACTTTTCCTCCCAAGAATGATGTTTGAACTATAACACAAAGAATAAAATAACTAACCAGGTAGGACTGACTACCAGTACATACAGGAAGTGGAGAGAGTGCTGTGTTGATCCGGAAGTTCTGATCACTAACCTCCCTTCTCCAACTGTGTGAGCTTGAATAAATCTCTTCCACTCCCTGAGCCTCAGTTTCCTCATCTATAAAATAACAATAGTAAAATGCATCCCATCGACCTCATCAGGCGATTGTCAGCACCAAATTATACATGAAAGGGCTTTGCAAAACAATGAGTAACTCTCCTCTGTTGGTTAAAGCCGTGGTACTGTTTAGAAAGGTGGTCTTTCCACAGATTAAACTGTTTTTGTGTGATACACTTAGTTGTTGAATGGAATGTGATTTTTTTTTTCTATAGCAACCTGGAAAACATAAAAGATAACAAACAATAAAATATCCGTCTAGTGACAAATGTCCCTAAGGAAAAAGGGACACAAATAGACCACGTCATGAGAAATGTTTTGCATTCCTCTTTGGCCAGGATGACTTGATCATATGCTTAAAACTCCGGCCACGGGGATAGTGATGTATGTAATTAGGAATTAGGAAAGCCCACTGGGGATTCTGGGTTTGTTTTTGTACATGTGAAAGACTTTTTTTTTTTAAATTAGAATCCTTTGGTTTCACCAAATTAGATTTCTTTTCATTTAATTCATGCATGCATCAAAGAAAAATTACAAAAGAAAAACCAAACCTCAAATATCATTTATTATATTTTTTATTTGAGAGAAAGAATTATGTACAAACAAAAAGAATCAATACCGAATAGATTCCTGGAATTTTGTAGAAAACATGCAAGTAGCGATGGGCTGTCCTTTCTTATGTGGACAAGACATTAAGTGAGGATGAAGTGCTTGGTTCTCGCAATTTGTTTCCATTCTCACTGTGTTAAAAAACGTCAGGTAATTTATAGACGTACAGCTCCCTTACAGAGTCAGTATGTATCAACTATGTTCTTCTAATTGGCAAAAAAGTCAGAAAGGATCTCCAGTGTTACCTGATTTGACACTATTTATGGACTGCCAAGTATGTGACGCTCACATTTATAAGAGAACCAACCAGTAAGAAGATCTGTGTTTGTCTTGGCAAATCTTGCCTACTGATGGTATTTAATTCATATTTAAGGCTTTCAATTTTTTCCCCGGGATATGGTTTCAGTCAGATCACCAAACACACTGGACTTTTATTTTTCTCTATTACTTGAAATATTTTTAGGTAGAACTGCAGAATTTAGTTCCTTAGTTTATGAGAAGCTGTAGCAGCTGATTAAAAATTCATGCCTCCTCCCCATCTCTCTCTGTCACTCGCATTTTACCTGGGCCACTCACCCACACTGGCACACCCCTTCCCCCACACTTTTCTCTTTGTTTCTTCTCTCATTGGTTCTGGATAATAAAATGTTACCAAATCTATTTATGACATAGCTGCTTCTGATACAAAGGCATAAAGAAATCCTCTTTTTTCTGGCAACGTGACATGTAGCCCAAGGGGACAAATCAATTTGTTAGTAATTGCTCATTTGAATATTAGTGATAATTCATTCAACATAAACAGTGAATTTTACAGCTCTCCCAGATTTCACATTTATGCATTTATTTCTATTCCTTTGTTTAAATTATACAAGGGATTTAAAATCTGCAAAGATTGTTTGTTTTAAAGAAAATGTGTTTCTCCAAGCTCCCTTTTGACCTGACTGTCCTTATTATAGTGACCTTTTGTCTCCTCCGTCAGGGTATTTTCAATGTTGTAGCAAGACTTTGTTACTGTGTAGCTGGCATTGATGGAGACCAAGCGAACAAACAGACACACACTTCAGCCCACAAACACACGTGCACACACACAGTCAGTGCGAACGAACAGAGCAAGTCAGCAGAGCATTCTGCCAGAGGTCATTGTCACCTATGAACTGGATTGCCTTTTGAATGACTTTGAGCAATGAAGTAGATGTTCTAGGTGTCAGTGGATGTATAGATTTTTTTTTTTGTAATTTTAGTGATTCTTCTCTTTTTTCTTTCAACAAGAAACCTTTGAGATCAGGTTCAATATAATTCCTTAACTGAGGCCAGAAGATCATATTTCCACCTTACTTGTGCAAAGATGTTCATTAGCTGCTTCTCTATGGACAGCACAAACGAACTGTGATGTGTGAGGGCGGCTCCTGTCAACATCTCACCATGCTGTGATTGCCATGGAACAGGCTACTGCGATCGGTATTGATTGAGAAGATGCTAGAGGGAAATCAGTAGCCCGTGCCAGAGTCCTGTTTTCTCCACTCTATAAGCATGATCTTTGGCTTTATCTCTATGTGCACCATGAAATGAAAAGCTCAGTCAGTTTCTCAGTGAATTCAAATCAGATAGGGCTTGAAGAGCAAGGAGAGCCAGCTGGGCAGATACCTCCAGCAGCAGGAGCAGCCCCAGCAAAGAAACAAAGAAGCGCTCAGGAGTTTCATGTCTTAGAATTCTAAAAAAACACTGCGCCTTATGGTGA